GGGGGCATTTTGCCGAGTGTTTATCTAACCCCTCACGGTCATCAGAAGTGTATCTTTGTCGGCACTTTAGCCTGTCCCTGTGTATCAGAATACCAGTCCTTCTCTATTTCATAATCAAACAAACAAAAGCAGCGGTCACGCGAGGTCCTAACCTAATGTCGACCTCGAAGGTCATTTAGCATTACACACATTGAATACTTCATCCGTCTGTTGGTTCCTCGCCTTACCTGTGCAAAAGATTAATTTTCTAATTCACTTACGTCATTGGGAATTCCAGGTGGGTGACAGCGGAGGGCCTTTCCGGAGGTGAAAGTCCGGCGAGGGACGACTGTTCTGGAGACAGACAAGCATAACCTTCCAACTGACGACGCCATTTTGTTTATGATCACGATGTTACCTCAGAACTAATAACCCAAATGGACCGAATATTCACGACACGGACCGACAGAGACAAAAATTCAATTAAGGTGGCTCCACACTTTCGCAATTAACCAGCAAAATTCGTTGAAACTTTCATATAATGGTTATGCAACTATGTAGAGTTAATTTTATGAAAATCTAAACATTCCGATAGTTTGGGGAATTTTTTGGAAAAAATACCAAAAAATTGAATTTNTACTACCAGTAATTTAAAGTATATTATCACGAAATTAGAAGCTATCTACGTCCATGACCTAATGAATAATTATGAAATTAATTAAATGAATCTCAATATGGTATGTGAACAGTATAAAATGTAATCATAATGTGTAACGTTAACAGTACAGATCCAATACAACCAAACACAAGGAATTTAAAAGATAGAGAGGGGGGGGGGGGGGGATACTGGCAAAACTATTTAGTTTAAAGTATCGTTTTATCACGGAACGATTCCGTGGTTTTGCATTGTTAGTTTAATTATAGTCCAATTATCCTCATTAAAAATGGTCCAACCTAACATCGCCTAGTTGCAACAACCTTTTTTTACGACTAAATATAATGTAAACTTTAATTATTTTACCTTTTTCTCGTTTTTCCAAGGCTTTGACCGCTTGCAATAAAAAAATAATTAAGGTATGTCATACAGGCTCATATATATAGTACGTGATTCGCTCATAACTTTTCCTCAAAATGAAAAAGAAAATACGGAAATGGCCCATGTCAAGAACAATGTCAAAAATATAATGACATTAGCAGAAATTAGTGTTGATTTTGTCTGAAAAGCAACTTTTGAATGCAGAATTTGAGTGGCCCAAAATTGCAATGAATAATGAAATTAATAAAAAAAAATACCCTTTCATGCATTCCTGAAGTAATGTATTCACTATTATCGAGAAAAACACCAGAAAATGCTTCAAATATAAAGAATGATTGCATGTATTTTCATTGGATATTTTGCAATAATTCAACGAGCTAACAAGGCTCTTGATACAAGTCAAGCCAGATTACCTGAGTGAGAACCTGAACCTGTAGTGAATGGTGTACAGGTAAAATCTCACTTGCTTTGCATGCTTTTTTCCAACCTCAGTCAGCCTTGTTGTCTTTTTGCTCAGTTGTGATTTATTCAGTGGAAATATGTGCCATTATTCTGGAGATTTGAAAAACATTTCTCATATTTATCGCGATAATAGTGAATACATGAATACTTCAGGAATGCATGTAAAGGTATTTTTTTTCATTAATTTCATGATTCATCGTAATTTTGCGCCACTCAAATTCAGATTTAAAAGTTACTTTTCAGACAAAATCAACAAGATGGGTATACCAAGCAACTTCCATTTTTTTTCATTTTGAGGAAAGTTATTAGCCAATCACATACTATATACACTGGCATGAGCCTGTATGAAATAAATTAACATTAGTTTGTGATTAAATTCATTAAAAAAATGTATATCTTTTATAATCCCCCCCCCCCCCAAAAAAAATAAAAAATATTATCAATCTTTCAGTTGGTCCCTTTTTCGGTCATTATTAGTACCCATATTGGTACCCCATATATGACAGGCTAGGACAATCGGGAACCATCGGCACTTTCCGTAAACGACAAAAAGTATTTCTCCAATCGGGAGCCGTCGGCACTTTCCGTAAACGAGAAAATACTAGCCGGAATTGACCGAGAAGTTGCGATTGTCCCGAGGTATTTTCTCGTTTACGGAAAGTGCCGACGGTTCCCGATTGGTATTTTCTCGTTTACGGAAAGTGCCGACGGGTCCCGATTGAGGTTAGAACACACTCGCTTGTTTTAATTTCTACTCGTTTTGATGCGCCAATTGCAACAAAATGTATTGCTTTCATAAAAAATATACTGAACTACAATTGTATGCATACACATTTATATCATCCGGTTATAAGGACCGGAAATCAACATTTTGACATGCCTATAATTATCCCCTTCAAAATCCTCAAAAATTCCGTCGACGTACGTGTTTTTTCTGGTTTTCTGATATGTTCAATTTGAAGTCATCATGCACTCTTAAAATGTCCCTGAAAATAATATTATTCGGTTGAAATGCAGATAAATATCTCTATTGATATATCATCAGAGGAAAATACACAAGGAGGTGTTGCATGGACGGTGATCGACAATCGGCCCACGATATTTATTTATTTTTTTGTGTGTAAATTAATTGATTTGAATGAACTACTTATTAAAACAACGCTTAAACTTCATTTGGACCGTAAGTGTGACTGCAGCGCCCCCTACACTGATATTAAAGATTTTTACCTCCACATGTGCCTTTGATGGGGCCAATATGTGGCAATAACAAAAATGATATCGCAATCTGCTTGCATATTTAAAAAGCATATACAATTACCTTTAAAATCATACGTAACAATTGACCATATGTGGTATCGTGTTGGTTTTTTTAAATTACTATTTATATGTAAATCTGCTCCCAAACAATGATATTTCAATTTTTGATTTGTTTTGTAAGAGTATTTACAGGATAGAACTCGGGTTCCATCAAATTTACACACTTAAAATTTTCTTTAATCATTCATCATTTTAGCATATCAAACTTGTTGATGACTCACTGGATATGCCCACTTTTTGGAACTTCGTTTCCGCTACCCTCTCGGTGTTTTTTGTTTTTTTTATTAAATATCGAAGTGGTGAAAGTACTGAATCAATTCTACCATCTAGATACAATAAACTTTATTTAACGTCGCATATAGGTAAACAAGGAACATTAGCTCTTGAGAGCAATTATTGCGACAAACATATGTAAAATAACAATAACATATTATATTACAAGTAAAGGGAGATAATCACATATATTAATAAAAAACAGTTATAATCATCACAGAAAAAGAAAGTATACATATCCCAGGTTTCTAAGTGATTGGGAGTCCCCTACCTACAAAGGCCCCCGAGATATATATATATAAATAGTGTTAATATATGAAAAGCATTAAATGTGATCACAGATAAGTAGTATTCAGAATAAGTAAATAAAAGACCTAATTAATAGTGAATGAATACTTGTATATCACATAAGAATTACTTAGGACTTAGGATTAAAACACTATGAAGTGGCATATACATACAATGCTAATATAGCAAAGAATAAAAATTGACAGAATATACACTATTATAGTGTGAATTAAAAATGATATCGAAATCAATTAACAAAATTTATCAAGTTTTATAAAAAAAAATATTTTAGAATATATGGAATTAAAATACAAATAAGATGCAGCAAAAATATAGAATAGAATTAAAACATATAAGAAATGAAATAAGACAATAAAAGTATCACACAATCCAAAATGTCAGGTGGCAGAGGTAACCAGGGCACAGTATGAAGTATCACTCTTTGCAGATATTGCAAAGGCAGATGGGGCCATCCCAGGAATGGACGAGCCTCCTAAATTCTTTGAAGTTTTAAACTTTTCTGAAGTCATTTGGGAGACTGTTCCACACCTGGGCGGTCTCAAAAGCAAACGATTTATGTCCATACTTCACAGTGTTGACACTGGGCACCTCTGCAGTATTTTCTTTCCTGAAGTCATAATTAGACATCTTAATATTTACAAGATTATGATAATAAAAAACGTGTTATGTACTTATTGCATAGTGTGTTATGTACATGCAAAAATGGTCTGATCATGAAAACGTTCTGCATGGTAATCAGCGTACCTAGTACTAATACATTGACTGGAATATGCTCAACAACAACAGTTTATGTTTATATACACAGAATGTGACTGTAGCGACACATTTTTTGTGATTGTTTTTGAAAATACATCAATATTGACTTACATTTTAGTCTCCGCCATTATAACGGTTATAAATTATTATTTAATATGGAATTTCTTTCATCCCTTTTGCCTTATGATTCTTGAAAAATGGTGTTGATTTCTAAACCTTCAGCTCTGTGCATGGCTAGGAAAAGATGTGAAGGTCATTATTTGAACAAGCAAATTCATTCATACAACCTACTGTCTAAATCATAACACTATGCTTTAAAGCTGTGTTAATTGATATATTCAAAATTTTAAAAATCGATAGACTTGCATTCAAGCTACACATATCATGACCCTAGGACTTATGTTTCTTCAGACAAACGTTTTGAAGATTTTAACATATTTGACCTTTGTGACCTTGAATGACGGTCGAGCTCTTATATTTATATACCAAATATTCCAATAGCCATCCACCCCATCTTCCTACTGCTCGAAAACATGGCCTAAGGCGTTTTGAATGCTGCGAAGGTTTTAATAGATTTGACTCCACTAACCTTGAATAAGGTCAATGTGATTTATTCAATCAACACGAAAACAATAACTCGGATGGATTATGCACTGTCACTTCATAAATTTGAGCACTGATAGCCCATTACAATATTTGTTTAAATTCAAATTGGCGGTCATGGTGGCCATATTGGATTTTCTATTTGCTCCCAATACATGAGTTTTTAATTTTTGAGTATAAAAACATAAAAACAAAAGGTTTAAAGAACATCACATGATGACGTAACCATTTGAATCATCAGTACCAAGTTTGATTTCAATGTATCCAATGTTTTTAAGAAGTCGAATATGTTCAATTTTTATGTCCGTGTGACAAGCAAGCACTGCAAAGTAGAGTGAATCGAAATGAAAAGGGATAATTAAATGAAGCATCTTTAAATCTTGCCTGGAGATTTCGGGTTTTCGTTCTGAAAACATGCAGGCTTTTTTGTATTGCCAAGTAGTGCTTTCGCTTTTTCATTAAATGATCTCTTAAGAGTTATCACCATTTTCAGTCTTTTTATCCTGTCCGGAAATCTGCTCGTTCAGTTTTTGATATTCTTTAAATTTTTGCCGAGTTCATTGTCAAAATATGTAGTTGTTAATTTCAATATTGAACAATGGCAAAATATTTTGGACAGGGTTTATGACTGTCTGTATCGATGGGCGTAACAGACACCTGTACAAACGGACATA